TTTTTTCTGCTGAGTTAGGTGAACATTCCAAAAGCTGCACTGCTTCACTTTTTCATTGTATTTCAAATACTGTTTTGGTGACGTATTTGTATTTTGTATTAAACTATTATTTAACAAGTATCGATTTCTAACGTCTCTGTCTGGGGCATAAGTGTCATCACTGATGTTAACTTTAACTCTGCAAATCAATTGTAATTTCTTCTAATAAGCGTTATAAGTATAAGACAACACCACCACCCTCATCGATGACTTAAGTCTTAGTTGGATTTTTATATCAGAATACCGTTTTTGTGAAAATCGCAAATAGATCACTTTGAAAATAAGCACTCGAGTTATCACGCGCCTATTCAAAAAAAAAAATGTAAATGTAGTTAATACAAATATATTTAGCAACCATGAAATATTTTACCCAGAACTGTGACTAAGTGCTCGTCATGAGGCAGCAATTTTGGCACTTTTTCCAATAACATTGCAATTTATTTTTTCTAATTTTTAAAAACTACTAAGTACCTATGTATGTAAATAGATAGTGAAGGCATGAAATTATATGTATGTATTTCCTCAAAGCCTAAACATAGCAACTGTCAATGCGGGTATTATCATTTAACAGGCGCCACAAGCAGTAGCAAAATGATAAGCCAGACAGAAGTGGCTAGCAGATAGTGCTGGTAAAGATACAAATTTAACGATAAATTAAAAAATTACGAATTTAGAAAATATACAAAATTTTATGAGTGGAAAAAATTAATGAACTTATTAATAAAAAAAAAATCAATTATAAGATGTTTTATAGACGGACATTTCCGCACAGTTTTCGCGTTATGAAGCACTTAAAATCTATTTTATTTTTTATTAATTTGGTTGTATATAAATATGTAGTAAGTATGTACCCAATATTCGTACTGAGGAGCCACGTTTAGGGTAACACTAGGTAACACTCGTTCGACAGCTAAACTTTAATTTTTGAGCTGAAAATCAAAAGTAATTCATTCGCCACTATGAAAACGGCCCTTGGAGTACATTGCGTTTCCGAGTAGTTAGCGCGCAGTACAAAGTCTAAGTGGTTTATTTGATGAAAAAAAAAACCTATCGACCCATTCGATTAAATGCTTTTTGCTACTGCTAAAATTTAATTAATAAACACACTTCTCTACTTGTGTACATTTGAAAACATATATACATACATGCATAGGCAAATATGAAGCCATTTAAATCGATACACTCAATCACTTAACAAGTTCGTGCAAATGTTTGCGAAGTAATTATTATATATATATTTTTTTTGCAAATCTATAATTTTTTCAATCTCAATTTTCATTGTACGTAATAAAAATGTAACTTATATTTTTGCTATTTTTGGAGAGGTGTAAATAGCTACGGTCACATTGAATCAATACGCAGTCGAGCTTATCGAATGTCGATTGTACAGCTATATTTTTAACAAAGAATTAAGCTGCGTACTTTTCGAAATTGTATGCCTTACTTCTTTTTATTCGAGGAATTCAATTTCTTTTAATTCGATTGCAACTTTTGCCGGTTTTGAATGCTTTGAAAATTTGTTTAAGTAAAATTTTGTATTTTATATGCAACAACTTTTAAATTATTGGCTGAAGACAAGCGGCTAAGCTTTATTTAAAATAAACTTGCCTTTTCACTTTTTTCATTCATACATAGATATTCACAGTACACTCGCGATATCGTGACGCTAACAGAACTTAATAAAAAACGCCCTTTTCCCAATTATTTTGATTATTCGAAAATATTTTTGGAAATTTTTTAAAATAAATTAATACAATTTACAGTTTTTTGAGATAAGTGGTTAGTGGTGTAACGCTACCATAAAAACTACGACTTCGCTGAAATTTCGTATGTGCTATGCTTAGACAAGGCCGTATATGAAACTTCGTAAATATTGGGTTACTGCCACGCCTACCCTACTAAACTCGATTGTCACTCTTGATTGCAATAAATCAGAAGTTTAATCCACTGCAATGTGTACTATTAATAACAAACCTGGCTCCAATTAGTAAATTTATCAAATTTTGATAAAATGTGGCTTAGACCGTGCTTTATTTAGAAACGCTTTTTTTTTTGAGATATATTTACATATAAAATATTAGCAACCGAATTTTTCCCATACGTGTAGATTTGGTTAGGTTGCCTTTTAAGATTATAATGCACTTTTCTGTGAATTTTAGCAAATAGCTAATGCTCTAGTCTGCAATACCTGTCCTTCAGTGAAGAGAAGTACGCAGAGCCAGGGTAGCTCAGTCGTGATTTGGCAAAATCCGGACAAAGGCAAAACCAAACTTGGCAAGGAATGTTGCAAATTCAATGTAAAAGTGTGCCATTAGCGTTGTCCTCGTCACATGCCGTACACTTTCCACTTGTTTGCATCTATAGTATATATTAGATATTATATGCTAACGATGAAATTTCAAAAAAAAAAAACGCACGGCTTCTTAATCCAACTGTTTTGAATTTGGTAAAAGATTTCATAAAAAATAGTTGTGTGTTTTCACTTCACTTTATACTTTACAAAATTAAGATGAAATTTCAATCAACCGTCAACTCCAGAATTTTAACGAAGCCTTCATGATTCTATACTCTTATATCTAATATTTTTTTTTTATGAATATTTGATAAATTCCCAACTAACCTGCCGCTACCCAAGAAGAAATTAAGTGAAATTAGTAATTTAAAAAAAATAAAGTAATGTTTGAGAGAACCATATGGCTATATAACTAAAGATATCGAAAAGCTAGTTCACATATGTATACACATATCGATGGCTGAGTGGAAGATCGACCTATCTCGGCAACCAGTTCGAAAACGCCCTATCTCAGAAAATATTTCAACAACGCTTTATCTCAGAAAACTTTTCAAGAACTTCAGAACTTGATTGAAAAATGCCCTAGCTCAGTATTTCAGTAGCTCAGTATTTTCAAAAACGCCCTATCTAAGCTTATTTTCAATATATTTTCGTTTGAGATAGGGCGTTTTTGAAGCGAATTCTGAGATAGGGCATTATTAAACCAAATTCTGAGATAGGGTGTTTTTCGATAATATTCTGAAATAGGGCGTTTTTCAATCAAATTCTGAAGTAGGGCGTTCTTGAAAAGTTTTCTGAGATAGGGCGTTTTCGAACTGGCTGCCGAGATAGATCGAACTTCCACTCAGCCATCGATATATTTTTATTGGTCAGAATACCATGTTTTTAATATTAAGTATGCAGTTTTTCAAATTCCAAACATTAATATATTACCTATTTTTGGCCACTTCGAAAACATTGTGAGATGTTGATTAAATTTTAATACATTTTTTATATAATTTAATTTTTATTTAATTTATATTTTTACAAGTTGTTATTATATTTCACCTGTGGGTAAACAAATCTTACAAAACATTTTTAACCGACTGCCGTTGAACTAGAGACTAGAAACTTTAAGGTTGGCTCAGAAGCCAATGGCAATGCAATGTGAAATATGAATTAGTCCGGTAGGTGGCGTAGGTGTCGGGATATTTGAAAACTCGTATTTATGGTCCGATATTGTTCGTCCTATTTGGAATATATATTATCTACCTAGTATTTAAAAGCGAATAACTACACAGTCGAGATAGTTGAAAAATTCGTAGTTATGATCCGATTTTTTTTTCATATTTAGAACTTGTTATAAAACTTTAATAGACGGAAATAACTACACAAAAAATTTTGCCATTAGGTGGGGCGGGTCAATTTTTCTTTTTTGCTACTAACCACGAACAAAAGCTTGTCTTAATTTTTTTTTTAATTACTTGTTTAAATTTTATTTAATTTTTCGTTTACGTTACTAAATTTTTTTGTTTCGTTTTACTCTGACTAATTTTATTTTTTAGTTTTAACATTCTTTTTATAATTTGGCATTGCTTTCAAGTTTTCTTTGGGCTAGGATACTGACTTGAAATAGAAAAGAAATTGATATTATAATCAGAGCTGAGCATTCGAATTAAATTATATGTGTAGTATAATTAATCGCAAATAATTTAGTTACGACTGAATTAGTCGGGAATAAATTTCTTATGTTTAAAGGTTTCGTGTTTTTATCCGTTTTTTTTTTTTTAATAATTTTTTAAAACTCGATTTGTACCACACTGTGCAACGATTTACTTTCATTTCTATTGCCACCGATTCTCAGTTAGTTTAATTCTGTTTGCTGTTTCATCAAGATTATTACTTCTTTTATTTTCATTAACTATTCTAATAACAAATAAAATAATGTATCTGTCATTCGAATAATTTTTCTTTGAATAAACAAAATTACATATTTATTTATTATATACGAATAATGACGACAACAATTTATTTACTTGTTATTTGTCATGCGAACAAATTTTGCCTAACTCTGATTTTAATTGGCATATGTTTTTTTTTTAAATTAAATTTCAAAGCTCTTTTTCATTTCTATGTTTTAGTTTCCTTGATCCTAATTTTCTTAATTGTGCACGCAGAGGTCTGCAAAGTAGTGCCTTTCATTTTTTCGCCTACAACCCACACACTTAGCACCGCACTCCGATGACACTCCTATCTATTGCCAGCAGCAGCAAAGTTGAAAAAAAAAATCATTTATTTTTCTTCAACAAATTTACCGTCGCTAAATGCAAGCGACAAAAGCAACGGCGAACCGACCTTTACGGCAGAATTATGCCGTTAAACTTAAAATTCACGCAATTACCCAAGTATGTTTGTTTTTAATTTCGTACTCACCCTAGGTTGAGCCATTAATGCTCTGGGAGCGATGTCCAGCCCGACCTGTGCCACTTTTGCAAGCAGCACACGCTGTGCAACGTTTGCCGAGTTGTGGTTTTCTGGTTGAGGAGTTGTTGAGCTTTTAGCTGGTGGGTGGATGCGGCGGTCACTTTTTGGCTATGTGGCCGGCTCGCAAGTCCACTTTACGCTCCTTGTCTATATAGTATTTTTAGATGTTATATATTTGTTTGTTTGTTTCTTTGTTTTGCTATGAATATTCTTAGGAACACTTCACTGCAGTTTTCGTGCACTTGCCTAGTTGCATGTATGCTTGTGGCATGCAACCTTGCATTAATTTTATTGCAAATCTTTTGTTGGCTTCTTCTCTACAGTTTGTTCACTTTGCTTTTTTTATTTATAGATAGGTATATGTAATTTACATCAACACAGGCACATTTGTTTGCAATAATTTTGTGTTTTTTTAATGTTTCTTTTTGTTTTTGTTAAGCGACACACGCGACGGTAAAACGCGACGAAACGAATAAGAAAATTATTGCAAGTAAAATATTTTGTTTTTCTTTGCTTTAAATATGCTTTTCGTATTTTTTATTTGTGAATATTGCAGCTGATTGTTATTTATTTTTATAAAGTATTCCTTACTTCTTCTGCTTCTTGTTCTTAAAGTGTACTTTATTGTTAATTTAATTTTTTTAAAATCGTATACAATGCTTGTATATGTAGTTGTGGAATAATTTCTTGTTTTTATTTTATAAATTTATATATTTATTTGTTTGTTTGTTTGTTGTTTAGCGCTTAGTGCTCGTATATAATTTTGCGTTTTAGTATACTTGATTGCTTCGGGATTGGTTGGTTTCCTTTTAGCGGCTTGGCATTTGATTGCGCTTCGCAAGCGCCTTCTGCCTGCTTTTGTTTGTTTATAGCTTGTATGCAGTTGTCATAACGGTATTTTAGTTAGCTGCTTGTTTTAGTTGTTGTTCTCCAATGTTTAGATATTACTTTCTGCCGCCTGGTAACATTTAACACTGTCGTTGTTCTTGTTGTATGCAGTTGTTGCTCGTATACAAAGTTGCCGTGGAAAAGTTAAGTTGCTTTGTTTTGTATGTAGGTAAAATATTTTTGAACGCCTCTTTCTTTTCTTTTTAAGTAAGTAAGTATGTATGTACGTAGTTGCTTTCGAAAAGATGTTCTTCTTCGTCTTGTTTCAGTAGTAGTAGTGTTGTAGTTGTTGTTGTTGTTCTTGTTAGCGTGTATATGCTCACAAATATCACAGCTTCATCGACGTTCTTTCGCTTTCCGCTCTGTCCGTTTCCTTGACTTACTGACTGTATTATAACGCTTCCGTTGCTATATATATGTATAAAATACGTTTGCAAATTATATAATTTTCGAAAAGCTAACTCAAACTTTTTCGCAACCCACTGCACCTATTTCTCGCCTCTACGAACTGTCAGTTTACCAGTTTCACGCTTTTCGACACTTTAACGACGTTTGCGACGACTACCGCGTTCCGCGTGAATTCCCGACGCGTTTCACCAACTGGCACAGCGTTGCTAAAAGTGCGCACAACACAGTTTACGGATTTGCACAAAAACTTTTGGCTTCACAGCTTGAAAAAAATATTGTTCGGCAAAAAATTTATTAATCAAAAATTACTTTCCGCTGCAACGATTGGATGAATTTGCAGTTTGCGTAACCAAATTAAAAAGGTGTTGTAAGTCCAAAACAAAAATGCCACAAAAACCGTAAAATGCAAATAGCTCACTCTAAGCTGCTCTTGTTGTTATTGTTATTATTATCATTTTTTTTTTTTAACTTTTAATATTACACAAGTGTTCTTGTTGCACAATTTACGCGCGCGCGCGCGATTAATTCAATTGCAATTAATCAAATGCTGTCAAAAATGTTGCTGCTGCTGCTGCTGTTGTTGCTTTACGCGCCACTCTCTCGTCTGGATTTTGTTAAAGCAACCAAATATTTAAGACTTGTTTTTTGTTTGGTTTGCTATTTTAAATTTCAGTTTTGTTTTGTTACATTCGCGCGTAGAGTGGCAGCAGCAACTTGCAAATGATTTGTGTTCTACGGCTGAGCGGTCTGTCTGCCTGCTTACTTGCTGGCTTGCCTGACTGACTCAGCGCACGACCTGCTGCTGCACTCTCGTATAATGGCTGAAGAAAACACTTCGATAATGCACGCGCACTTCCCAGAACGCACCTACACGTCACGCCGACTAACTGACTGACTGCGGCTGACGAAGTGGCTAACAATGGCTCGCAGCCCGTCTGCCTGTGCGTTCGAATGCTCGCTGCCACACAATCCTGTCCAAGTTGCAAAAGTCCTGCTAATGCATTTTAAGCGCTCCACTAGCGACGGCAATGCAGCGGCGTGCAATGTGCGCGTTCTTCCTTTTTAGCTTGTTTGCTCGTTGAGCGCGCGAAACAGCTAGAGTAATAAATTTTCTACGCTCTATAGGTCAGTTGAAAGTAATTATATGAAATATTTTGCATGCCTCGCGTTGCATGAATGTTTTTTTTTTGTTGTTTTAGTAAATATAAACTTTTAATAATTTACGCGTAGTTTTTCATAAAAAATTCCTTATTTACCGTAAAATCGCGTTACGCGTTACCGTTGTAGACTTTTCGTTTTGTTATTGTTGCGATTTTTGTTTGGGAAAAATGAATTGGAAATTACGCTTATTTTATTTCGCTCTCTACACAGCACACGTCGTACGCGTTTCGAAGGCAAACACACACTGGGCTTGTCAATCACAACGGCAACTACACTTGGCGGGGGTAAATAATAGCCGCTGCCGTCGACACACCGATAGGCAGATAAACACACACATGCTCGCGCGCGCACAAAGGAACGCGCTCGCACTCAGCACTTTGAAGTATGGCAACTAGCTGCGGATACTAAGCGGCAGCGGTGCAGCAACAACTACAATTACAACTACAACGCTGCTGCATACTTAGTTTGCGAAATGAACGAGTCAAGCGCACAGCACATGAACAGCAGATGGATGGATGGCTAGATGGATGACTCGACGGCGTAGGAAAGAAAGAACGGCCGTAGCGCTGTTAATGGATAGCGCGTTTCAAGTGCAAGCAGGCGCAATGCGAGTAGAGCAACAATTGTGCCATTAAAAATGTGCGAACGAGAGCGCATTAGGGGCGCGCCTCACGTGCGCGAAAGCGATAGCACGCTTGTGGTGGTAGTTGGGTTCAAGAAGGCAGCAAGAAGATGATTTGAAAGGTAAACAGCAAGCAGCGCTATCGGTGTACTAAACTGTTGAGGAGAGCAATTGAGTGATTGAATGTGGAAATGAGTAAATGTGTGCATGGGTTGCAGCGAAGAGAGATGGATACGACGTACAGGCGAATAGTGCGTACATTGGGAGAGCAACGCGCAGGGCGAATTCACCTACATATGTATAACCGTGTTGTGCGCTCCAAATTATCTAGCTGCAAACTCAACTCAATTTGACGGCGAAAAGACGCACATTGCTAGCGAAAGTTGCCTTATTTTACTCCACGCTCCACACGCGCACACATACACACCCTATCATTTGCGCTCTGCTGTAGGCGCGCGCGCTCATAAAAGAAGGAATGACTGATTTGTTACTACGCCTCTTGTGACATGCCCACTGACTGGAGAAGGTGAAGCATAAGCGAAAATTACGATATCTCCACTCACTTGTCACACAAAGCCACCAAAGAATGCTCAGTGCTGCACAATGTTTGCAGCCTTTTTGTTGTTCTTGCCGGTTGCGTATGCATAATACAACAGCTACATATGTATATCGCACGTTTAATAATAAAGTGACGTAACTCAAAATTTACGTTTTTGGAGATTTCATTATGCAAATAATAAGCTTGATAAGTCTAACAGATAACGAAATTTCCCAAATATGGCGCAGATATATTTTTTTTCCATCTGTCTTTTTGTTTACCAACTGTATGAATTGATAAAAATTTGATTGCGTTTTCCCACAAAATAAAAATTTTGAAATACTTCGTTATATTAATAAAGGTACGATATGCTCGCCACTCATACTTCGCGCGCTCTCAAACGCCCATTTAATGAGGCGCCTTATCTAGAGTTAAGAGCGCGCACAACCACCCACCAACCCACCCCTTTAAAATTCATTTGTTGGTGTAAAAATTTTGCTCAAGCGCACACATTCTGTGGCTTGCCGTCGCCTAGACGCAACTTGAGTCAGAAGTTTCCACCGTCTTGCCAACTCCGAAACACTCACCCACACACATACACTCATCGATACGAGTGTTTCCTTTTATAGTACATGTTTCGTCTTAACCATCTTCATCTTCTTCTGGCTGATGAGCGCTGTAGTGCCGCCTTCACTTTTCATGCGCCCATCATTTCGCAAAGCGCCACTCGTCAGCGCTGCCCCAAAGCAAGCGGTAGTGATACATAGCAATGCAGGCTGGCTGTCGTCTGTCGTCTGCTGAGTGAACTCAACTCAGCTCCAATACATATGTACATATTTTGTTGTTGCTTTGTTGTCTGTCAATGCTTGTTGTTGCTGTTGGTGTTGTTGGCGCAAAACACAACTCAGCAGCGCATTGGCATCGTCGCATTTCGCGCAAACATTTGAAATTTATTTGGCTTTAGCTGAAATGAGATGGCTTATATCATGTTGATGAAAATCCTCTATGCTCACCTCACCGACCGACTCCGCGACCGTTCTTGCACGCGCTCCCATACTGTTTATTGTTGTTGCTTGCGCGCGCTCATTGCTCCACCGTTCTTCGATAAGTTTGGAGCACTGCCTTGCCGCGCGCGCGTTCTCACCACTATGGCTTATTCAGATAAGCCACTCTCCGTTTGTCTACCTGTTCGGCAGCGCCTCAGCGCCTTCTGCACAAGCGTATGTACCAACTTACTCTTGTCGCTCATGTAGCGAATGCCCCGCGAACTTCCCTTGCAAATCAGCAAAAACCAATCCCATTTGTTATTTTCGCTTGAGTGAGTGGCAGTTTGCATCAGTTCGGTTTTCAGTCTTTTGGCCAACATCGTTGTCGACTTGATTGCTGTTGTTGTTTTTGGCCTTGTTGTTGTTATTGCTTGTTGGCCGCTATTCCGTACGCTGTGCGCTGAATGGTCGGTGGGTGGGTTTGGCCTTACTCGCTTGCTTGCAAGTGTTGTTTTATTTACTACACTGACTACTACGGTTGGCGTTTGTGGATGTTGTTGTCGTTTGGCGACGTTGTTGGTGCATTGTTAGTTGAGCGTGTCGCGTACGAAATGTAGCAATTTCTGTTGTTTTTGTTGTTTCCAACATCCATTCACTCGACGTACATACATATGTATGCAAGGGCGCGTGTGTGTGCATCTGTGTGATATTCAGGTGTAAGCACTACACTCATCATTTTCATCAACACCATTACCAGCTACGTCAACAACAACAACAACAACAGCAATCAATAGTCACTCGCTCACCACAAGGCAGCCAGCAGCCGTGTTGTGCGGTTCTTGTTATTGCTCTCGCTAAATTCCACCTATGTGAGCATTTGTGTTGTTGGTGCGCTCAATGACGAAGCTATGGCCATTCTGACCATTAATGGGGCGGCGAAAATGTGACGGATTGGGTTGGCAAAAAGTGCTTATGTAAAAAAAAGTGCAATTTTTCAAAGTTCCATTACTCAATTAAAGGGTCTTTTAATTGAGTTAATTGAGTTGTTGCTTTAAAATTTATCGAATTTAAAACATCCGCCTGGATATAAAAAGGACCTAACTACAAAATAAAGGCATCGGTAAGAATAATGCTGTGCCTTAGAGGCCTGAGAAACGCAAATAAATGAGGGGCATATGCATTATTTAGTGCAAAAGTGTGTAAGAAGCTTTTATTTAAAACTCAGCGATGAAAAGAAATTAAATTGCGACGGCAAAACACTTTCTTTCAGAAGCTTTGCCAAATTACATTGAATGCACTTTTTCGCCTCAAGCACATAGTTGTACAACAACAATAAAAGGAGACATGCTCGCCTTACTGCAAAAGAAAAAACTAAATGTAATTTTTCACTCTCTTCTCAAAGCAACAACTATTTTGCCCTTTGACCATGCAGGGATGCCAAGTTTGGCGAAATTTAAATAATAAATATGTGGAAATTTGTACACTAAATAAATAAATATTTTACGCTCACACATTTGCTAGTGCTTGGCCGAGCTACTCCTCCGAATTTTGGTGCGCCCCTTAGTGTTGTCACACCAACGGCAAATGGTTTTCATTGCAGAAATATACTCGGACGTTTGCCAGGTGTTCAATCGGATTACGATTAGCAGCCCGTCGTACAACAGGCCTCCCTGCGGTGACACCTGGTAACGCAATGGTTGCTAGGGGGCGAGCGGCGACTACACATCTTCCATTCTCTTTATTGGGCCGGACCAAATTATTTGTTGCCAGTATCAGTTTGCCTTGGGGGCGCTAACCAAAGTAGTATAGACGTGAGCGGAGTGTGGTTTAGCGGGTCCGGTCCCGTGCAGACGCTCCCTTCCTCCGTCACTCAGGGGAACATATTATGGAGTCCGGAACTCACAAACAAAACCCGAAAAGAGCCACAACAATTGCAGAAAACAATTAAAGCGTTGGCACCCACGGTTTTACCTAAACCCAGTCCTATACGTAGGCAGATAGAGGGTGTACTGGCATCCACCAGCGCTTGACTAAGGTACCGCCTGGTCTGAGGAGTTCAAAGGCCAATATTACCCGGGAAAGAAGCATTGCTGGGGAAGCCTGCACGACAAGCATCGAACATCTTGCGCTCGCCACTCAGCGAACAGCGTCTGATAAGCTTATTGTTTGTGGCACCAGGAGCTTGATGAACTGCAAGACGGTCACAGACTTCATCCAAACGCATCTACCGTTTATTGAACATCAGTTCATAAAGTAGGACTTCGGAGCAAGCCCTGGCCCAGTCCCTAAAGAGGGCCAAGATGCAGGGTGCTATATACTTTGCGCAAAGGCCGTGTGGACCGGAGGGTAAATAACGTCATCGGCGAACGTAACGTAGAAAGCAGGATCTCTAAGAGCCGATGGATGTGGGTTCATTCCGCCTTGACAAATGTGGCATTGCATGTTCAGAAAAGAAAATCCAAGACAGCCAACCTCGTGTACGGAAGCTGGCTGGCTACAGGGGAATGTTAAACTAATTGCCTGTGATGACAGTAGAACGGTAGAGCTGCACAAAGCGACTGTCGACAGAGGAGAAGTATCCAGGGGCCCAGCTGCAAGTTTCATAAGCGCAAGATATGACGTCACGTTCCAGAGCGAGGAATCGTTGGAATCTGCGGATATTTTAGAAATGTTGCTGGAATTCAATCTCAATACTCCACACACAATTGGAGTGCAATTATATTTTTCAAGAGTTTTAAAAATTAGTTGGTTGGACATCTTTTTTTAGCTAGACTGGAGATAACCAGCAATCTAGGAACACTAGGAAATATATAACTTATTATTATTTATGAAAATAAAGAAAATTCTATAGAAGGACTGTTTCGAACATATTCCACTTTAATGCAAGTTTCGCAAAACTCTAAAAACATGAATAAAAAGCTGAAATGCAGCAAAATATATTTTATTGAAACATTGTCATTGTATTTTTATGTAAATAGAAACCTCTCCAAATAAACAGCCGGAAAATAGATCACAAAGTACTTACAGCACAGCATTTAAGAGGAGAAGCCTGCATGTATTAATCATGGCAAAATAGAAAACAGTTGGATAAGTCACAGATCTTTCGAATCAAAGCATGTTATGCTCTCCAAATAGCAGGTTTCTACAAGGCGCTCTAAATCTAAAAATAGGTTGGTCTTCATTAGACTCAATTCTTTTATAGTCGAGCCACTTCTTCAGGTTTGGAAAAAATATATATATATATACTCGAAGGAGCTTAATCGGAAGGATATGCTGGATGGAGAAGCGGCCCCAAAAACGGATTTTTGCTTGTTTTCCATTTGTGTCGAAAGTCGCGAGGATGCCCGCTTGCAATGGCTGAATCGCAAACTAAATGGCGCTGCCTACTCAAAACTTGGCAGTTGGTACTTTTTTCAATCGGAATTATCAAACTTA